ATATTATAACATCGACTGAGATAAAAAATAAAATAAAATATTAAAATCACGATTTATCTCGCTGCATTACGTGAGTACGCTTCTAGTATATATATATATATATATATATATATATATATATAGGGGTGGGTTAAAATAAAAACCACTCAATTTTACAACCGTGAAAACCTCATTCAACCAATCATAATTTTTTATTTTGTTCATTTTTTTTAATTATGAGAGGTCGATTAACCATTTTTTATTGTGGAGGGTGTTAATCATGGATATTATCATATTCATTAATTTAATTTTAGAGAAATACATGAAACAGTTTCATTAAAATTTCATTAAGTAGTATATGAAACAATTTCATAACCACATATGAAACAATTTCATCAAAAAAAGTAATATATGAAACAATTTCATGAAAAAATTTCATAAGATTAACGACGGATGAGAGTAGTTTATACGGTTTTACAAATTGGAGTGGTTTTCATTTGATCGCTCCTATATATATATATATATATATGTGTATGTGTGTGTGTGTGTGTATGTGTATAGAGGAACGTTCAAATGAAAACCGCCTCCATTTGTGTAAATTGTGTAAGCCAATCTCATTCATCCATTTTCTTGATCAATGGTCAAGATTAGTTTACTTTATTATAGGAAATTAAAAAATATATATATTATAAATTTATTTTTATATCTGCAATAAGGACAAAATGGTAAACAAAAATACATATTCTGTAACATCCTATTGAAGGACATTATTCTTTATTTTAGGAAATTAAAAATTTCTATTTGTTAGGAAATAATTTCGCTAATGCAGCAGCCTTTTTATTCCTTATCCTGAAATTGTTTCAATGTCTTTCACACACCCATGTAAATATGCACCCTTTTCATTACGAAATTATTTCAAGATGCACCAGTTTCATCATGAATCCATTTCAGCATTTAATTATTTCATGAGAAATCGCAAACATTATGCACCCGTTTCATTTTGCATTTTCATCTACTAAATGGATCAACTACACCAGCATTGAAACAAGGTTCATCATCAAACCAGTTCACTACTCATTGTTCAATTACGCCATGAACTAGTTTCAACTTCATGAAACTTGTTTCATGTACATAGATTAGTTTATTTCGCTCCTGATTTGATGAATTCATTCATTTAATCCTTATAATCTTAAAGATTCTGTAGCATATTACAATCTTCAAGATTTTGGAGCAGATTCATCATGTAYYYGTTTCATCATGCAATTATTTCATGATGAACCAAATACATTATGCATCCGTTTCACTACTCTTGGTTCAATTATGTCATGAACCAGTTTCACCTTCATGAAACCTATTTCATGTACATTAATTTTCTTATTTCACCCGTGATTTGATGAATTCATTCCTTTAAGCCTTACAATCTTCAAGATTCTGGAGCAGATTACAATCTTCAAGATTCTGTAACATATTCATCATGTACCCGTTTCATCATGCAATTATTTCATGACGAACCAAATACATTATGCACCCGTTTCATTTTCCCTTTCACCTACTAAATGGATCAACTACACCATCAATGAAACGGGTTCACCATGAAAATATTCACTACTCATTGTTCAATTATGACTTGAACCAGTTTCACTTTCATGAAACCTGTTTCATTTGTATTAATTTCTTTTTTCAATCATGATTTGATGAATTCATTACATTATGCCTTACAATCTTTAAGATTCACCAACAGATTCAATCGCATCACAATATATTTAGTTCAAAATTTTCAAATTATAATATAATTAAATATTTAAATGTTACCATTTATAAAATTTTCTTTATTACGTTTCCTTAATTAAGATTTATTAATAATTTTCATATTTAATTGAAAATATTGTAAATGACCGAAATACTCTTATTGATTAAATTTAATTAGAAAAAAAATGGAATTTTCCTATTGGTCGAAATTAGCTTATACGGTTTCTTAGAATTGCACGGTTTTCATTTGAACGTGCCCCTACATGTATATGTATGGTTGGTTTCAATTATAAGCACCACAATTTTAGCAAAAACTTTACAAATTGATTTTGACCACTCAAAAATTTAATCTACAAACATGAATCATGCAATAACATTAATGTAAATAATATTAATTTATTATTTACTTCAATAGAGACTAGCAGCATGCACCCAGTTTATCCGGCGATCATATCTCCCCATGGTTCGCCTTATTATCCGGCGAAGAAGATGAAAATGATTTCCCCATGGTTCGCCAGGTTAAAGAACCATCGAGAAGAAACCGTGTAAGGCGGCTTATCGTGGTTCCTGACGTCGAGAAAGAACTGAAAGGTCAAAGAATCTAGTGAGATACAATATAGTTTGTTTTGATTCTAGATGGGAGAATCCCGTATTAATCTGGGTTCATGTTTTTACATTGATTCATCAACGTAAATTTGGGTTCATTTTCTACATTCACCAAGAAAAGAAATTTTGGGTTTCTTCATTCATGGAAAAAAAAAACATAAAGAAAACACTTTTAAACGGTAATTGTTTCTG